GTATTATTTGTCATTCATAGTTCTGACTTGTAACTTGTCGGTATGGTATTATTTGTCATTCATAGTTCTGACTTGTAGCTTGTTGGTATGGTATTATTTGGAAGGCATTACTGTTAGTTGTCACAGCTTATGGGAAGGCATTACTGTTAGTTGTCACAGCTTATGGGAAGGAATTACTGTTAGTTGTCACAGCTTATGGGAAGGCAGTGCTATTAGTTGTCGCAGCTTATGGGAAGGCATTACTGTTAGTTGCCACAGCTTATGGGAAGGCAGTGCTGTTAGTTGTCACAGCTTATGGGGAAGGCAGTAAGTGCTATTACTTGCCACGATTTGGGGAACGTGATGATATTAGTTGCCACTGTCTCTACCCAATCGTATATTAAGTAAATTAAACACAAACATCCACTACCACACTGAGCAAATGTAACAATAGCTAGCTGTAACAAGGACCTGTGTTACAAATGTAACAATAGATAGCTGTAACAAGGACCTGTGTTACAAATGTAACAATAGCTAGCTGTAACGAGGACCTGTGTTACTATGTATTAAATACATTATTTTCGACAAGTAGCTTGCTAACACTGCTACACGCTACGCACGAGAATCAGCACCAACAAGCTGGTGCTGTATCCTGGGAAACATGCTACTGTATATTGAAGGTTGCACGTGCTCTATACAAGTTTTACTGCATTTTTTTTTTCAAGCGCTGCTTAGGCTGTAATGCCTTTCTATAAACACAGGGACACATCTGGAACGTCTTTGTGGCGGTGTTAACAAATGAGTCACTCAGTAAGAATAAAATGAAGTGAGGAGAGAGGGTTAAAAAAAGCTAAATTTAGATGGTATCACAAGTTCTACAAGATGGCTTATTACGAGAAACCACTAGCGTAAAAAAAACAGACCAGTATCAGAGAATGAATGCACTTCTCTGATATACAACAGACAGCTTTCATGAAAGCTTAAATCCATAAGGTCACGATGAATTGAACATGACCTGTATGTTTAATTCCAAAAAGTTCTTCCAAAAGTTTTATGTAAATTGTAGTTTCCGTGAAGGGATCATGGCCATAAGAAATGTGGATAACTTATATGAAGGATTATGTAGCTACCAGTATTATGAAGCAATGCGAATCATTTCCACTCCAGTTCATTGCTAACAAAGCATTACGTGATCTGAAACGCACGTATTTGATCATTTGTACCAGTGGAGTTTAAAGTTGTTTATCAGCTATAACTATACCTCAAAGAATCCTGGTTGTTTCGCTCCCGTGGGTAGGTTTTGGACGCATGAAATCCAGCCAATCACAGCAGACTGGTATGAATGTCGTTAGCAGAAGGTGAAATTGTAAACAAACCAATGGTACAGTTGCTAGGATACAAACATCCTCAAACCATCATTCACGACCTTAGCTGTCGAATAAATTCGGTTTGGGGCTAATAAGGAGTACCCAATCCGAGTCTGAATCAGTTGTTCACAGCCGCAACGCGATATCGTGTAAGCGTAAAACAGTTATAAGTATTCTGCTCCCAGTAATGCACAAACCAGTTCGCCTGCAGTGGCGACAATAACTATCATAATGCTGATTTGCATTAAAAAAAGCTGAGGGTGTAACTGACATCTTATAATAACATAACTAAAAAAAAAATTTTCGATTCGAATTTTCCTGTAGCTTTTTATGCAGTGGATACAGTTTCGGTTCAGAAATGGAAATCATGCTCACGTTTTTTTTATAAATCTAAAAAAAATCTTAAAACTTCTATATAATACGACGAAGTGCTTATAGACTTAAATATTTCTGAGTAACAAAGTTTTTTATTCACTAAAGGAAATGAATGTGATTTGTTTTTCCTACGTCTATAACTTACTCGAGCACGATGCTTTCTTTCTGCGGCCCATAGCAGTAATTGGCAAGTTTCCAAAACGCTTATGGGCGCCATATCGTCTGAAGTTGTGATCCTGTGAGAAGCACTGTGACTTTATAAAAAAAAACACATCCCCTCTTTCTCTTCAATGAGCTTGATACCGGGACCCACAAAAACTTTCCAATATTCGTACTTTTAATGTATTATAGACCTGTTGTTATTCATCATTTCTGCACTTGTTTTCTTAATATATCGGTCTCTTTTATACTTCCTACAAAACTGAACTAAGATGTGAAGGTCTCATAAGAAGTCTGAAAAAAACCTGAATGTTTTTTCCAGAAATGGCAGTAGTGCTGTAATATTCTGTAAACTGTGTGTCACCAGCAAAATAATTTATTCCGTCCAACTAAGTTTTTATTATCGGAATATTCTAGACGTTTCTACGAAAAAATTCAATTTCATAAAACGTAATCGAACGAATTAACTAAAGGATCTACGAAGTATGAATTACAGCTAGGTTGTCTGTGGCTCTGATGGTTATTATGGTATAAGTAAATGGTATTAATACTGACCAGAACATTTGCCTCACCAACACACCATGTCTAAATCGGGGCAGATCATAACAGTTTTCCGTGTCATGCCACTTTTGTATGAATAGGAATTAGCACGGTCTCTTGTAACACAGTGTATTCCACAACGACGTACTTAACTGCTCAGTGTGTCTGTGAAATGTCACTATTAAACAAAACTTGTTATACTTCAACTAGATACAAGTACTACGTCTGTGTTGCTTTAAGTCTTAGTAACTCGTATTCCGGGGAGAACATAAGGGAGTTATACGATTCACTTGGATGTTGAGTTAAATTTTAAACATTGAGAGTTATTTGTGAAGCCATCCAGAACTGAGGCATTAATTAACAAAATGTGTAATAATTGTGTCATTTTCTCCGCATTAACCCTTCTAAATAAACGAAATTACAGAAACCGAAAGATAGACCCCACCAGTAACCAAAGTTTAGACCCGTTTGTCCTATAGGAAAAACATCAGATGTACCTAAGAGTACTTTCATACTTGGTTCCTGCTATACATACCATCCCGCATGGTTCCAGTTTATGTTGAGAAAACCACTCTGAGCTCTGGTGTATGTATATATATATATATTCTTGATTTCTGTTAAGACTATTATTCTGGGTATAGTTATATGATCCCAGCTTTTATTAAAAGAACCACCCTAGTTTCTGTTACAAGATTCTGGTTACTGTTATGGATACCATTCTCTGTTTTCTCTCTCTCTCTCTCTCATATCCAGTTTGAACGTTAGCGATCATGGTTCTCCTTTTGTACGTTTTAAAATCTCAGTCACACTGACATCAATCCATTTGCTTACACTGTTGTCTTCCTCGTCTATTCTTCCAGTAATTACCATATTTTCTATTTTTATTTTCTCGTTATGCGTCTTTAGAAACTCAGTTGTCTTCTCTGTGTCTTCTCTTCTCGCTGATGATATGGTCTGTCCAAGGAGTGTGTGAAGCACTCGTCTAAAAACCACATTTAAAGTTTCTTTTTCACACCAAGCGAGTTTGTCCAACACTTATGTAATGATGTAAATACTGCAGTATGAATACCATTCCAACTTGTTTTATTAATCACCCACGTTTAACCAACACTGTAATATCAAGTACAATACACGAGTGTATAGGGTGGTTTTGTTTAATTTGACTATTGAAAAGATACATAAAATAGAGCAGACTAAGATAGAAACACGGATCCGTAGACTTCTTAAAGTCTCACGTAGTACAATACATTCCATATCAAACTAATACAACAAAGAGAAATAAATTTAACAGCTCCGTTCGTAACACGAACAACACCAATATATATAACACTAAACACAACAGAGATTGGTTTTTCTAGAATCGGTTACTTTTACGTACAAAGATCAATAGTTATGACGTTGTGTAATAATCACACATCAAAGGACTAATCTAGTCATGAAATATAAACACACACACAACATAAACTTTGTACAAATGAGAATTTACAGCACCGTCAGATCATGACCTCAAATTGGACTACGCTTTTTAAATCGATTGTATGGCAACAATAAAGAGAAGAAATAGTAATTAACCCTAACAATATTTCTCTGTGTGCGCCACGAGGCGGAGTTTGTACGCATTAACTTAAATATGCATACCAGGATTGACGTATATAGGCGACTATTGGACGAAGCTGTCTTTAATTATGATAAACTAACTTTTTTTTTTATAGAGAACAGCGAGTTGTTACCGTTTGCTTCTTGAACTATAATAGGAGAAATAGGGACTGCTGGGTAATTAAGGATTGCTGGGTAATCGTACTGAACATTCTCTTATACCACAATCAGTTTCTCTGGCCCAATGAAATGTGCTTATTGATCGCGTGCTTCATGCGGTATGAATCAGCCAGAGCACGTGCTTATTCTGCAGAGCACCGTCGGCACAAAGTCGGGATTAATACACATGGTCACGTGCGTGGGTTATGGTATAATCACTAAAAAAAGGCTTACAACTCGTATTTCGTCGCTGGGCTAAAAATTGAAGCATGTACTAAGTTTATTAAAAAAAAACAACGAACATTTTGATCTTCTTTAGACGTCCATGCTCGCAACTCACCACGGGTCAGCCATGTTGAGAATGACCATTGTTAAAATGACCAGGAAAAACTTCACAAACTACCGAATGAAGTAGTTTCTAAAGTGACCACGCAATAATACTGTTTAAGCATAAACTTAGGACTAGCGTGAATATGACTGATACAACGGAAGGACATATTTAACTTACGAATTACGTATTTAATCGCTTATATCAAGTCAACCTATTGTAACCGAAGAAATAAAATAACTAACCAGCAATTCACAGTTACCGGCCGTATCTTGGTTGTTTACGTTATCAACAACAATATGTTACATTAAAGGTGTTATTGCGCTTTTATTACCTGCCAAAAGAGTCCTAGTTGAGATTAGAAGTTTAATATTTACATGAAAACTGGCACAATAATCCAACTCCGCCATGATGGGTTAGGCTAGACTATCACCTGGAGTTAAAAGATGTGAAAAAAACTAACCACGTGCTTAGGGTTAATGAAAGCAGCACGAAAAAAACATTTTTTTTCACAGAATTAAGGTGTTCTTAAAGGAGATAATACATCAGGACTTACGAGGCAGTCACTTTAAGCGTTAATTCACAGTTCTCTCGCAACAGGGGGCGCTCTATGTGTCGCTAATTTTTGCCGGTGAATAGCTGGCTGTTGTTTTAGAAGTTGTGAACCACCACAGAACAAGCTACAGCATTGTTAAATTCAATTCGATCATCATTCGATAATCTCCTTTTCAGTCTTCATTCTCTCTTTAAACAATCAATATAGGAAAAATGACTAACCAAACCAGACTTTGGTGCGACTTACAGGTTCACTGAATCACAATAATGATACTGACCCATAGTTACTACGGGTTACTAGCACCATATGACCTCTACCATCAAGCAAGCTGTCCTAACAACTACTATACAGAAAGGATTGGTGTGGACGTTCCTAGAGGTCAAGTAATACACCACCCTCTGACCAATACGTGAAAAACGTATCACGTGTATAATAAGTAGGCCTAAAGGGGAGGCACCCATTTTATCCAATAAGTAAAGGAACTTGCTGTGTTCCACCAACTCTTACTTCACTTTTTGTTTCTAATGAACCTTTTTTCCATAGTTCACTCAACTTGTTGTAAGTTTTACAGGCCTGGCCTGAGGCATAATTTTGAAACTTTAAATCATAGATTCTGTTTATTTATTTAAAGAAAACTCTTAAGCATGTATATGTATAGATAGTAGTAGTGTACTGTTTTTATCTGCAATTCCTAGTATCTCTAGGTCATCATTGAAGTTAACAAAACAAACACGGCGTCGCTTTGGTAGCTCTTTTCCATAAGCAGGAGAGAATTCTGTAGGGTTAGAGTAACAGACCAATGGTTCCGTGGCGGCCTGAAGCTCACGTGCACACATATACATACAGGGGGGAAAAAAATCAAATAAAGTATAAACAGTCCAGCTGCTACGAAACTTTACAAAGTATTTCTTACAGTTGACAAGACCCGTGGTGGCTCTTGAGAATCTCACGTGACCTTCCAAGTCTCGCCACAAGTCTCACGCTGCTTCGTCATAGTGATGAACTTCCGCCTGTTCATGGATCATGTTTCCACCCCCTAGTCGTCGACTGTCAACTGAACCCTTAGAGAGAGAGAGAAAGAAGATCAGATATTAACTTTCTAGGCAGCGCCTTACAGAATTTATAATTCTTTAATAAGAACATACGGTTTTACGTTTGGCTACATTAATTTTTAAGGGGTGGGCAAGTTCGTTTTCTTTAACAGCAGTGTTGTCAATTGATCTTTAACTTTGGAATTAAAAATGCCCACTATTTAAGACCTTGTTATATATGTCAAGGAATGCTTTACATAAATTCAAAGTAAATACATAAACAGAACCCAAAACATCTACAAATGGTTAGAGCAAAAACCGGTTTAATTAAAAGAAACCAATAATCCACAATATGTATAATAAATAGGTTTAAAAAAACTCGCACAAACTGAGGGTGTCGATACTATAAAAGTGAGCTTATTTGGATAATACGTTTCAATTTTTTATCGTACTAAAAAACCGCTGAGAACCCTAAAGTTTCCATACCGTTCCATTTGGTGAACAGTATTTCATCAGGAAGTTTTGAATAGCAAATAACTAAAGAGATGGGTGAAGGAGGAGGGGATTACGCTGTCATACCAGGTGGTGGGGTCTCCACTGTCTATATTTGCACAAATAGCTAGCTAGGCTAAAAGACCGGACCTCAACAATAGAGGTTTTATGTGAGTAGACCAGAAATTTCCGGCTTCTGGGGACCAACTTTCCATAACTCTTATAATTTAAGCTAAAATAACAACAATAAAAACTATGTATTCAGAAGTTGTTTTTTTTTTCTTAGGTCAAGATCTTAATGTAAATTTACACGAAGTCCCCTAATGTTTAGACGAATTATTTTTACCTAAGAGAAAAATTTAATTTTTCAACTGTGAACTAGAGCTGAAAACATTTCAAATTAATGTTTAAAAAACTGATAATTTGGGAACTACGTAGTGCATTTTTTTATATAAGAAGCGACAGGTAAACATAATTCTTTACAGGATAACGAAGCCTGACGTATTTGTAACAAAAAAGTCAACAAACGGGTACCTTTGTTGGCGTTCATTTGACATCCAACAGTGGCTAAAAATATGTAAAAAACTTTCAAATAATCTCTGTATGGATGAGTTAAAAATAAACTATCTTTGTTTTGTTTTTTTCGTACAAAGCTACAAAACAAGCTCCGCATACTGTCCACTGTAGGGGATCGTTATATGTCCCTAAACTTATCGCTTACTCAATGGTTACGAAGTTAGGCCCAACAATAAACGACAGCCTAACATTTAGTGCTTGTATTTCAAAAGGTATTGATATTAGTTGAATTGTGTGCTCAAGTTCCGATATCAAAGCATCTAAAATCTTACCTATTTTTTAAATGTGTGATTTAAATCATGCGCGTCAAATTGGATGAAAACCTATATAAAAATCAATGAATATTGTCTGCTGATGTCTTTACTATTATTAATAAAATTTATTAAAAACAACCACATATTGGTAATCTTCCCTGACGTTCATCCATCAAACTTTTGTGAAGGGCCAAAAAAAAAAGAAGTTTGATTAATTATTTATAATTTCTTGACTTTTCGCAAAGCAAACTACGTATTGCTACATCAGACGTTTAGAGGTAGGTATGGGAAACGTAGTCAAAGTAAACATCTGTCAAAAATAAAAGTTAAAACCGAAAATTAAGTGTCTGAGTTACAACGAATGGCAAACATACGTTACACGTGAGATATTGTATTCATCAGTGGTTGCTAAAAAAATTAGCAAGTTTTTTGTTTTCGAGAAAGTTAACGCTGATTCTTGGAGCTCCCAAAAATGTCAGAATATTTCAAACTTAAAAAAAAAACAATTATGAAACTTTTTATCTCATCTAAAAAGATCTGGCGTTAAATTAACCAACAGGTGGCAGTGATTACTAAACACAATCACGAGCTACTATTTTCACGAAACCGAAAAGGACCGTGAGATTTCCGGCTGCCCTAGATAAAAAAAAAAGGGTTGACAGACTCAATTCTACGTTGATACATAATTCCCACGTCTTAATATACCTTTGTAACGTATTTTATCGTTGGTCAATTTGTTTTGTTTTTTTACAATATTTGGTTAAAATAATGCGAAGTCCAGTGCACGTAACGATAACATGTTAAATTATTTCTTCCTCAACAGTTTGATACAGGCTACTATTACTTGTAAACAGTTGTAGGCCTAAGCTCACAAATAACGTTTTCACTTGAAACAGAAATTTACTCGCTAATAATATTATGATTAATGTACAAATAAATTTTTACAGTTTCATAGCTAATCAATCGAGTAACCCAACTGCTCGGGAAAGTAGAAAATAAATGAAAATGACTGCTTCGCCAATCAAAATGCATAAAAAACATGGTAGGTAAAACAGTTTGAAGTAGGCCCGAAACATTACCTATCAATAAATTCAGTAATTCTTCACGCTTTTCATATGCTATTTATCACTATTCTTGTTTTCGATATTTTTCAAAATCTCTCGATCATTATTAACAGCTCTCTCTACCTTACATCTAAGTTACAAGAAAGGAAAATACATAAACCCATAACAGTACCAAACTAAAAATATAAAAAAAAAGGAACGGTGATTTACATATTAAAAATATTTTGCAAAATTAAACTTCATTAACACCAGCGAATTTGAGTCATTTCAAAATAATGAACTATCACAAAAAAAAGAACTGCATTACTTTACGAACAATAAAACAGATGAACCACATACACTAAACCACAGAATTAAAAACGCGGCACTTGAAATTATTTTAGGCAGGATTAGAGTAAATTAATCTTCGAGACCTTTATTTTCCTTTTTATTAATTATATTTTTTGTGCGCCAGCAATACCAAGCGTGGGGCACGCGCATACCGGATTCGATTTTATTACTCATCAGAATCTCTACCAGCCTACCCTCAAATTGAAATTTCAAACACGAGTAAGATAATCTACGAGATCTTGGGCGTGGTCAAATACATCAATCGAAAGGGTTTGACCTCCCGAGTCCCAAAACTGTAATTAGATCTCATATCGGTCAAGAGATGACGGAGCTACGAGCTAACAGTTTGTACTTTAAAAATAAAGAACAACTCAGAGCCATTCTATGAGCCGTTATGCCGCGGCTAAAAAAAAAGAGAAAATACGAGAAACGCAGAATTTTCAAAACCCCGTTTTTAATTATTTTTTTGTAGCTTATAATTAGTTAGGCTTAGCAATATACAAATGAATATGACTAAGTCTAATACAATGAATTGCCACAATTTCTCACATTTTTTTTGGGGGGGGGAGGATAAATTATTTTTTCCAGGAAACAATTTGTGGTAAGTCACAGTAAATGGTAAAAAAAAAAGTCAATAACTGACCCACCTCGTTAGATTTCGGTCCTCTTCCCTGATTTAATCTTCTTCGATCAGCTGAAAAATTATTATCACTCAGTGGTAAAGTAGCGTATGGGGCGGGGTAATTATCTTGTGGCGGTGGGGGCAGAGGAAACGGTGGTGGGGGAGGAGGAGGCTGTAATAAAGGTCTGGTTTTCTCGACATCCACATATCGCTGGGGTGGGGTGCCATTCATGCTGTATGGGTAGATTTTCTCAGTCACTGCTTCTGAAACAAGTCGATCATTTTGTAACTATATTCAACATTGTACTTCAAATATAGATAATTAGCAAAACGTAAAGATTTTACCTTTTTTTTATACTTTTGACACAAGAATACGTTGTACACGAAGAAATCGACATTTAATATAACCTTGTGGTAATTAAAAGAATTATTCACTTTCACAACTTTTGTTCCTAATACAAATTATTCGTTTTTTTTTTTTGTTTCTTCAATGCCAATCAGACACTTATAATAATTAAACGGTGACATTTTTTTGTTTTCACCAAATCCCGTAAGGCGGAAACATACTTGTATATCGTAATGGAATGCGTTGTAGACAATATATGTACCAGAAAGTTTTACAACACGGGATATCGTGAAAAGTTGTGTCGAGGCTTCATTTTAATATAAATAATAACCACCTTTGGTTTTTATCACAACAGTGTACTGAAATTATGAGACCTTTTCCTTTCGTCCGTCAGATGACCTCGTGAACGTTTTACTGACGGCCATTTGGATTCAAAGACGATTCTGTATTTTATTTGTTTCAGCCAAATAGCTAGACACAATGTGCAGTATCGTGTCGATACGGGAATGGTGCCTCCTCATTCAATTCCACCAGAATTGTATTATCCAGGATCTCAACAAAGTACGTATGATAAAATCATAAATAATATTGGTACACAATTAAAAACATTTTATTTAGGCCTATCTATGGCCTTCAATTGTGTACCAATTTTAACGGTGAATATTATTTATAATTTTAACTTTATACAAAACTGCTAAAATACAATAATTAAAGTATGTATGGTTTCCATAACCATTAACATGTGCACCAGGTCCATACTAAATTAAACAGACTCATATTAGCCACACAACTCTTAACTGTTAGGACGATATAGTCCTAACTAAGCCTTCTTTGGTTGCTGTAAAATCAGACCTGTTAAGGGTTAGTGGAATTCATTGCTCCATTGTATTATTTTCCACTGTACTTCATTCCAACTTTTAACACTCACACCTTGCATTCAAAACGGCAAACTGGAGTTCCATATATAAAACGGACCGATGGCCTTCAGTCCAAAGTGTCCACTTAAAGACCTGGTCGACTGATGTAACAACAAATGTGCTGGGTTTTTTTCACAGAACGTTTTCAACAAACTAAGAAGTGACTTGTTTTTGTTCGTTATTTTAAACTTGTAATTCCATCTTTAGTATTATAAACATATTAAATGTGATGAGTAACAAACTCACTGTTCCAGAATCACCATGGAAACATATTTTATGTGGTCATAGCAGCAAATCATGTCCAAAATCAATCATTATTATGAGTAAACACTTGATTTCAGGATGATTTCCTAAATGATCAAAAATTAAACTTCAGGAATTTATACATCACTTTTAGGCTAAATTATTTTAAACTTGTATTTATATTTCATGCACCTCCAACTTTGAAAGAAGATAGATGAACGATTTTCATTGAACAAAGAAAACATCATTTTGTAGTCGTTTTCAAAGGCTTTAAAATATAAATAATTAAAAAAGAATTATTTTAAATTATCAATGGATATTAATATGTATTTGTTTACTGTAATAAGCCACTCACCCATAGCCCTATTATATCGTCGTTGTTCCTTCTTTACATACACGCACGATACGATAACAACGAGGATTATGATGGCAACAGAAGCCACCACTGGGGCTAGAACTGGCAATCGAAGATATTCGGGCAATTCTTTTTCTCCTGTGATCACTGCATGAAGATTACGTTCCATGGGTCCTGCTGGGAAAGCAAAAAAAAAAAAGAAAAGGTTTTAAAACGCTTAGTGTATTTGAAAATATTTGGTATTAATATCAAATTTATTAGTGGCCAGGAATGTATGGCGCTTGACTCGCAATCTGAGAGTGGCGAGTTCGAATCCCCGCTCTACCAAACATGCTCATCCTTTCAGCCATGGGGGCATTATAATGTCACGGTCAATCCCACTGTTCGTTGGTAAAAGAGTAGCCCAAAAATTGGTGGTGGGTGGTGATGACTAGCTCTGCCTTCCTTCTAGTCTTTCACTGCAAAATTAGGGACGGCTAGCACAGATAGCCCTGCTGTAGCTTTGCCCAAAATTCAAAACAAAACAAACTTATTAGGTTGGGAAAAATTATAAGTAAGTCTAGCAATAGCTTCTGTTTCTTGTTTAGCATAAAGCTCCAAATGGCTATCTATGCTTTGCCTACCATTTTTAATTGATATGACTTGTAATCATCAAACTTTATTCGATGCATTTAAATTATTAAAAAAGTTAGCAAAAACCTTAGGTAGACATTAGAGATATCCCACAATTTCAAAAACAATGAAACAGATGTTCTGGACATCATCAAAGATCTTTAAACATAGACTGTTTGGGTTAACCAGGGCTCATTGCATTGACAACACTTTGGAAGCGGATGTGATAATCAAGTGATGTTTCTGTTAACAATCAGGTTATTCCTACTTAACTAACCAGTAGAAAATTGAAAGTCTATGATAACTGTGTATATATTTAATTTCTATTAACTGAGTTTTCATCAATCAAAGTCACTAGGTGAAGTACACGTTTTATTTTGTTTTGTTTTATATATCAATTTTGAGTGAAATTTTGGCAAAAAAAAGATAAAAACCAACGACTTGTATTAACTCAATTGATCTGATTATATGCAAACTCTGCCTTCTGAGCTTACCTGTTCCATCTGTTCTTACTGTTAGGGTTTCACTAGGGTTACTGTTTCCTTTTTGGCTAGCAGCTTGAAGATAAAGTTGGTAAAAACATCCAGGCCTCAATCCCTTTAGAATATATTCCTTCTTCTCTGTCTGCGGAATAGTAACCTCTGTCCATGACTTAGAGTCTTCTTTGTAGAATAAAATGTAATCTGTAAAACACAAGCAGTCAAGTGATTTAGAAGATAAAGAAACATCCCCGTAACACGTTCTTTTTCTAACATTCTTTCACTAAAAGTTAGACACAAGCAGACTGTGTTTATGAAACACCTGTTATGTTAAACTGTATGCCAGTGACCTTCACCTTTGACCCATGACCTTCAGAAGATTATTCAGGTCTAGAACATCACATGTAGTGCCTTTTGATTAAGTTTTGAAAAATCCATCTATGCAACCATGTGATATCCTGCCCACAAGATTGAAACGGACATTGGCAAACCATTATGTCCAGACCTGCAATACTTCATAGTGGGGTCATAATTAAATTACTTGAAGGTTAATTTTTAGAATGTGACAGATATGGTTACAATATTCAGTTCATAACAGTTTGTCCTTTCTACTCTGCTGTAATCATACAGTTTAAACCAAAACTAAACGAAACCTCATCGTGTTACTGAACTCGTATTTGGAGGTAGTACAACATCCATGCCTGATAATCACCGCAGTAAACCGGTCAAAAGTTTGCAAACACATTTGAAGTATTGTCTTATTTTGTTACAGAGTAGTATTAATTATTTGATTTTTACCTTGTTCTTGTAAATGTGGTTCTACCATATCACACTCCATGACTGTAAGCTGTTTTACAGTACGTAGATCCAATTAGATCTCGGTAAAAATACGTGAACACTCGATCATATACTGAATTTCTGTTTCACTTTTATCAGACTGAAATAATCCAGTGTTCACAGTGCCAAAAGCTTTACAACAAACGATTAAACACACCAGCACTAAGATCCACTTGAACCCTTATTCTTCAAACTAGATACAAAAAAAAACCTCTTAAAAGCTGTTGCATAAAAAGAATACTCACGTGAAATTATATCAGCATCATTTTTTTTCTGCTTCCACTGAATACTAATACTGGTTTCTGAACGAGTGGTTACTCTCAACGTCGGGGCTGGAGGGGGATCTAAAGGATATGAGAATACATATTTCTGACCAAATTATTTTTCTCACTGAAATTTAATTGAATGATACTAGCTCCATTTTTTTTATATGTATTAGTTTTTGAATTAAATTAGTTCAAGTACTGGGACCTTATGAATCATGTATCACAGCATAAGTTTTGAGATTTTTTTTTTTTCATATATAAACACACACATACCGGAATCTTTGGTTATCTTCACGATTTCTTGAGATTCTGGTCCTCTTCCTGCATCGTTGAAAGCCATCACAACAACAGCATACTCTGTATTTTTTCGCAAGTGTTGAAGCAAGTATTCTTCTGACAGACCCTTACTGAAAGGCACATGCTTATAAGAGTATGACTTGGTTGAAGCTTTTTCTTTGTAGCCAACATAGTAGCCCTTCAGCTGACCATTCCAGTGGTCCTTGGGTGGAGCCTGAACATAAAATAATAGCAATTAACTCTAATAAAGAAACTGTAGAAAAATTGAAAACACAATTTCATTATAAGCTGTATTAATATCAAATCAATGAAACAGAAAATATTTATACATCAAAGGCATTTACAGTTTGTTTTTGTTTTATTTTTGAATTCGGAGGGGGGGGACAGAAGTTAGTTTGGAGGGTAGAAAAAAAAAATTAATACTTTCCTGTTAGTGGAGTCACAATGTAAAGATAAAGGGGCTGATTCCCACCCTCCAAACCACCTCTGTAGACATGCTCATTACACGTTAAACCCTTTATCACATTCACCAATACATTTACACCAATTACAGTAATGGAAAAAAACCCTTTGATGGATGATAAGGTGCAGGAAGTGACACATCACAAAATACAGCAGTCCCATCAATACGATATATCACTGGTCAGTTTACTGCTCTCCTGTCTTTTATATACGTAATGATCAAACTAGATGACAAATAAAACACCAGCCAGCTGTAGGCTATCTCGGATTTTCTTTGTTTCCATGGGCTGAAGATGCGTACTTGTGTTTTTATACAATAGATTTCACTTCTTTTTACCATAAACATCTGTGTATCATAACGAGTGGAGATATCATTTTTTACTATGGTCTTAAAGTACAGACCACACAAAATTTTGTATAATTCCAGTATTTCCAAAAATAAACAACGTTTCTCTCTGTTTCAAGATGAACAGAAAAAAATTATCGAAACTTAGGAACAAGAATACGGTTTCTTTGTTTGGACACAAAACTGCACAGTGGGTTATTTACACCGTTTTCACTGCAGGGATTGAATCCCAAATTATAGTATTATAAACCCTCGACATCTTATTGCTGAGCCATCAGTGGACGATAGAAACAATTATTGTTTAAAACTTCAAAAGTAAAACACTGCACACATAAGTAGTGTATCAGTGAAATCTTTTGTTACTCTCATCATCCAGCTAAATTGACAAGTTCTGGTCTTGAGTGAAAAAGCTTGTTGGGACACAAAAAAAATATACCTGAAATGCTATGTATTACACACACACCTCTGAACCAAGACATAAGAAAAGAAAAGAAAAAAAATAAACATCTACAGTTAACATGATTTTATGACAGTTAAAAAAAGATGTAATTTTGACACGTCAACATCTGCACTTAACATGATTTTATGACAGTTAAAAAAAGATGTAATTTTTACAGGTCAACATCCTACCTTCCATTTGACATGGAGAGTTCCAGCTCCTCTAGCTTCTACCCATAAGTCAGTAGGAGGAGCACTTGGTTCTAAGAAATGGTAGAACATATATTAAGCCTGATTTCAATACTTCAACACAATGTTATTAAACTATCATATTAGGCTTAGTGAACTATTAATATACTATATCACATATTAGGCTTAGTGAACTATTAATATACTATATCACGTATTAGGCTTAGTGAACTATTAATATACTATATCACGTATTAGGCTTAGTGAACTACAGTATATCTTCAACTAAATTTCGGGAAGTTGATATAGTACATTGATAGGCTCGTGTCATGCAGGTTAAATATCTGTAATAAGATACTCCAATCTACATGATATGTTTTACTTATATTTTACATGCAAACAGAACAAATTTTGTATCTATCTTCACCATGTCACAGTATTTTAGCTAATCGTATTTAGGCATAGAGTTAATTAAGACCTCATTTTACAATTAAACAATGTACCTTTCTAACTCTTCATTTGGAAGTAAAATATTATACTTTGACTCATTTGAATTTGCTAGAGAACACCATCGTATTACGTTAAGACTTGGTTAGGTTATACAATATTTAATTAATCACAACAGAGTTGCAAGAAACATATTTCGTTACATTAATTACAAAGTCTTTCATCTTCTAACAACAAATAGTTATGCGGGAGTATACTTGTGTTACACAAAACTTGTAACACAAATTTCAGGTGGTATGAAAAACACTTTTGTTTACCTTCCTCTTTAGTGACAAAACGTCGGTTTTCTGATGGAGTTCCTTTACCTACGTCATTTTCCGCCATAACACGGACAACGTAGGACGTTCCTGGCTGAAGTTTATGGAGTATAGTTGAAGTCTGTGCAGAAGAAATGGTCTCTTCTTCCAATCGATGTGGAGCACCTGGAATTGAAGAATAGAAGAGAGACTACACGTTTTAAAATTTTCGTGTAAAGCTATACAAGGGATAACTATGCATAAATGTCCCTAAATTTGAACTGCTAGGTAAGTTTGCTAGTTAACATCATCCATAGCCTACTCCTGTCTAACCAAATAGTGCTATTTAACTCTTATAGTATAAACATAGTTCTAACGTTAAGATTGTGATTTTGTGGCAATGGCATGCAAAAAATTAACCCTTACATTCACAGTCCTAGCATACAAACAACTAGACCACCTCCAGCTCATTTTGGCAAACTGAGTTAATTACAAGGTTCCAAAACTGAGATGACTGGTATTTATTTTTTATTTTTTTTCATGGTCGGCAATAGGGCAGAAACAAAACATTAAATAGGCACCTTGGTTTCTCCAGTACTGGATTATGTACTTGTTTACAGGACTGTTCCCACTGTAAGGCACTGTCCAGGTAACACTGACACTTCTGGTCCAAGCTTGAGCAATACGAACATCTGAGGGTGCTGAAGGTGGTTCTAGGAATTTTGTGAAAAAACAAACAAACAAATTAATAAATGATAGAAAAATATACACACACACACATGCACAGACCTTTACACAATTTACGTGTTGCAACAGAAATCTCTGCCCATGAACATCAACAGAAGGAAGAAGCTAGCAGACAGAAGAAGAACTGATGGTAAAACAAGTTATTGCATTTTTCCAAAAGGGAGTCCCACAGGTATACACAGTGAAACTAAATCACACTGCATAAAAAAAAAAGTCAGAAATATCCATATACGCTACACCTGTATGTCCCTAAAATTTCCGTTTGCTGTATATTGATGTTCACGTAAAATATTCTTTAACAACAAATTTTTAATTACTTCAAAAACAGTCTCACAAATAATTTACTTTGAAAAACAGTTAGTTATGGCAAGTTATCATAAAAGCCGTACATTCTTCATTCTTAAGTGAGTCACCAGGAAAATTATCCATCAACACGAGAACAATAATAAGTTAAAATGCAATGAAATAGATAGAAATTTGTTTTTATTATAAATATAAACTTATCAAAATTTGTTAAACAATGGACTATATAAAAGAAATTACTAATATCATCACACTGAGAATACCTTACATTAAATTATAGGAGTAACCAAAAATATCATGGATACCACTGTATATTACATGTTTGTTGTTAAGCAAAGCTGTATAATTGGCTATCTGTACTATGCCTGCTGTAGGTATTAAACCCTAAATCGTATCTGTATATTACATACCGAGGACAATCAGCTTTATTGTTCTTTGATCTTCTCCATAAGTGTTCTTTGCCACGCAGGTGAAAAGGCCATTGTCACTGCGGTCAACTCCGTGAACTTGAATCTCGGACAAAGTTCCCACTTCTGTTGTTCTGTCAAATATCTGGTAACTAGAGACAATATGTTTTGTTACATTTTATTCTGTTCTTCACAAAATCAAGGTAAAAGAAATTGGAACTAGAGAAACTGATAGCATGTTATCATTCTTTACCAATTAAAACAAGTGATGAATTACTCCTCTTCACGAGTAATATTGAAACATCTTAGGAAGACATCCGAGTATATGGCATATTAACGCGATATGTCTGGTTTGTAGTAAAAGTTTTCATCTACATACTGTTGGAGTTGTCAACTTTACAAAGCAAAGGAAGTTTATAAATTACTCATGTTTAAATCTGAAGGAGGAAGTGCAAGGTCCCATCTTAATTTGAGTCTGGTTCCTGGAACTAAATACATTGTGGAGAATTTAAATTAACTTCAGTTCTAAGAATATGGGTAGAAATGCATCAAAGTTTTTAGCTAGAAAATACTATTAGGAAAGACACTAACCATCTAGAGATAAATTTATTTGGTCTCAAAAATGTGTTTGAAATACAAGTGGTGATTTAATTCATTTTTGTGCTTGATTTGACTTAAATGGGTTCAACTAGTTTGTTTCACACACAGACTGAAGAGAGGATACCTTCAGAGCTTTCCAGATTTATTGGTTGTTAAGCATAAAACTACACAATAGGCTATCTGTACTGTGCCCAACATGGGTATTGAAACCTGGATTTGCTCGTTATAAGCCTTCAAAGATGCAGCTGTGCCACTGGGAGACAGACTTATTGGTTGAGAAATTATGTGTGTCCAGAAATGGTTTAAGTATTATATTGGGTCGTAAAATTTCAGATACTTTTTTTTTTGTTATACACCACCAGTATCTTTCTCGGTTACAACTGATGTTACAGTCACCCAACACGTACATTCCCCATGGGTCAGCTACCAATAAAGTAGAAGTCAGTAATAATATTTATTGATGTTACAGTCGCCCAACACGTACATTCCCATTCCCCATGGGTCAGCTACCAATAAAGTAGAAGTCAGTAATAATATTTATTGATGTTACAGTCGCCCAACACGTACATTCCCATTCCCCATGGGTCAGCTACCAATAAAGTAGAAGTCGGTAATAATATTTATTGATGTTACAGTCACCCAACACGTACATTCCCCATGAGTCAGCTACCAATAAAGTAGAAGTCGGTAATAATATTTATTGATGTTACAGTCACCCAACACGTACATTCCCCATGGATCAGCTACCAATAAAGTAGAAGTCGGTAATAATATTTATTGATGTTACAGTCACCCAACACGTACATTCCCCATGGGTCAGCTACCAATAAAGTAAAAGTCGGTAATAATATTTATTGATGTTACAGTCACCCAACACTTATATTCCCCATGGGCCAGAAGAAACGTGCACACCGACAGTATTAACTCTACTACAATAGAACCTTTCAAAATTCGTCCATTTTCTCGGTCCTCAAGAAATCTACTGGCTAATTGAATATTTGCTTAAATGCTACAATTGCATTTTAACATAGGCCACGTGCTAAAGTACTGAAAAACAAAAACACGTAGATAATTAACTCCAATTGAAACTACTGAAGTGCCCGAAGCACAAACTGGTTTAAAAGAACCACGTGCTTGAAAGGATAGTTGTTGGCGAATGACAGCCTGACGTTTGAGAACAACGAACATATGACCTTGACGAAGTGGGTGTAACCTTGAAAAGTGTTTTACTGATAGAGATATTGACACAGTCTCGTCTTCAAGGGTTAGCAGTGAAATTATTTTGTTTTGAAATTGATTTGCAATATCGATGTTCAATGTATAACGTTCAAAAGGACAAGTGGAACCCCCTCCCCCAACGTATTCATGTGAATGATGAAATGATCTAAGCTGATCTTTTGCTAAAAAAACAGGATGGTTTGTACACCTATCAATCAAGCGATAAATAAATACACTTTTTGTTATTCAAACAACTAAGTCAGTTTACACAGAAACTTATCATTACAGTTACAGGAACAATCATTTCTGACTAAAAAAAACCCAGCAGCATCTATATAATTTATATAGATCACGATAAACACAATCATTTCTGACTAAAAAAAAACAAGCAGCCGAATATATATATATATATATAATTTATATAGATCACGATAAACACTCAATCACTTCTGAGTATTGAGTGTTTATCGTGATCTATATAAATTATATATATTTGGCTGCTGGTTTTCACTTCTGAGTAAAAAACCAGCAGCCAAATATATATAATTTATATAGATCACGATAAACACTCAATCATTTCTGAGTAAAAGAACCAGCAGCCAAATATATATAATTTATATAGATCACGATAAACACACTCACAAATAGGAGGTAATGCTAACTGTTGGTTAACTTATAGCACACTGTACACAAATTTTAAAATAAGAGGTCACTAACCGGCCAGTGTCCACCCTTGACAACCGGACATTGTCCTTGTTCCATGTGATGGTCATGGGGTTATCACCAAGAGCGTCACATTCTAGTTTTGCCGAGTCCCCACGATGAACTCTTTCAACAACAAATTTCTCCTCAAATCGTGCTGGCACTTTATGTAAATAAAAAACGAAACACACATGGAAACTGACACCTTCAACACAAGTTCTAATTAGGCTAATATTTAAAGCTAAGCACACAACTTGTTTCTCGATCAAAGCACTAAACTTTGGTTTATATGTTTTAATGTCATTGTCTGAAAATTGTACGAAAAATTTTGATCTCTCTGTCTCAAATATTCAAAATCAAATTTTTTTTTTTTTTACATACATGCTTTTAATTCATTTTGTTAATTAATTAAAAATAGAGGATAAACAATAAAAGGCCAAAATTTAGATTAAAAACGTAAAACGATATCGCTAACAATCGCGAATTAAATACGACACATAAGCTAATTTATTTACGGAGAAAGTTAATATTGTTAAAACTTCGATAAACTTAATGTACGTTTGATCATCAGAAATATAACTATTTTTTTTACAGATACTTTTGGTATAATTGATGATTATAAATAGTGAAAATTAAATAAATATTCCAACATTATATATCATGATAACTTTGTTATTTATCGATTTTCTTAAAAGAAACAAAAACAAAGAAACATTCATTTATTTCTAGGCTTGCACTTAATATAACAACTTAACAATATTCCAAATAAAATGTATTCAATCAATAACTAATTAACTTACATACTGCAATAAATAACTTTGTAAATATTATAAGTTATATATAATAAAAACGTTCGTATTTTTGTCTTAATCGATAACAACACTGGACGATGAATTTGAAGCACACTTCTTTGCTCTACACTTTGAATTTGTATAAATATTTGAACTTTTTAAATAATTGAACCAACATTTCTGCTATAGTTGAATCTTTAAAAACTAATATGGGTTTGTAAACACGTTATAACCAAGGGCGTGACCCTTTTGGAGAGATCTGCCCTCATCTGATTGTTTGTTTGTTATGGATTTCGCACAAAGCTACACGAGGGCTATGTGCGCTAGCCGTCCCTAATTTAGCAGTGTAAGACTAGAGGGAAGGCAGCTAGTCATCACCACCAACTCTTGGGCTTTTATCAACGAATAGTGGGATTGACCGTCACATTATAAAACCCCCACGGCTAAAAGGGGCGAGCATGTTCGGTGTGAGGAGGATTCGAACCCGCGACCCTCAGATTGCGAGTCGAGCGCCCTAACCACCTAGCCATGCCGGGCAGCCCCCATCTGAAGTATAGTCTTTTAAGATTTTAAAATACTCTACATTGTGAAACCCACTGACATAAAAATGTTAATTTCTTCTCCAACTAACTCTTTGCCCCCTAATGCCCCCCCCCCACTGCCCAAATAAAAAAAACAACCCACAACTGTCATTCTTTACAAAAGAATGTTCGTATTATTTTGACAGTACCAACAAACATGACTGAATATTTATCCATACTATGAAAAACGTCAGGTGTCGAACGACATTACTGAGGTAATATATTAATTACATACAAAACGTTACAGTTACTGTTTTCTCTGTCGCGTATTTCGTAGCAATCGGAATCTGACTAGATTAATTAGGGCTAGTACTTTGTTAGGCCTATCTGTACATTAATAAGGTTTATATTAATTAATTAATTATGGCTAGTACTTTGTTAGGCCTATCTGTACAATAATAACGTTTATATTAATTAATCAAGGCTAGTACTTTGTTAGGCCTATCTGTACAATAATAACGTTTATATTAATTAATCAAGGCTAGTACTTTGTTAGGTCTATCTGTACAATAATAAGGTTTATATTAATTAATTAAGGCTATTACTTAGTTAGGCCTATCTGTACAATAATAAGGTTTATATTAATTAATTAAGGTTAGTACTTTGTTAGGCCTATCTGTACAATAATAACGTTTATATTAATTAATCAAGGCTAGTACTTTGTTAGGCCTATCTGTACAATAATAAGGTTTATATTAATTAATATGGTGGTTCTTATTGCAAATATTTTCCGGTCATCTTTTATAACCAAGAGGTATAACTACATTAAAACAAAACGACAGTTTTCATGTATGAATTATACGTTGTTTTTAATCACTTGTTTTCACCGAGAAAGAGACTACAAGAACCTCAAAGCAAAACATTTGAGAGACAAATACCAAGGACACGACCCAAGTTCCTTCATCCCTTTCCTTGCGAAGTGCCACCTAGACATGTGGGAGAATGCACGAACCGCTGAGACCTGGCAGACTCTCCGGTTCCCAGGGTTGGTGCAACGGCTTTGTAGAATAGGGAAACGCGGCGATAAAGTTACGTGGCTTGCCACCCATTTTCTAAATATGATTTTCTATTTAACAAGTTATGAGTTTTGTAATTAAATATCACGGCTCTAATGGGTGTGTTTGATTATTAGTGCAAGAGAAAAAAAAAGATACGGCAATATAATAATTTTGTTATTAATATTTATTAATAAGACAAACTACACAAAATACATTTATTACACATTTCTGTAGAACACAACACTCCACCAGAGCAGTGATGAAATAACAAAAACACTCAATAAATTTCCAAGAAACGTTGATCAATGAAAAACATCACGGCATTGATGTTTCAACCATTTCAACCAATGAGGTTGCTTTTAACACATGTGATATTGACGACACTTCCTCTGGTAATCACGTGCACAACAACACACACAAGTTTTTTTTTGTTTTTTAAATAAATATCTATGTGCAAATGAATCCCAGCAGTGAGCAGGTTTTATGACGTGCTGGAAAATATATACAAGGACAGGATAATATAAAACGGGTAACACATGAAGGTTAGCAATGAGCTATAGAGCAGAACCCGGATTAGAAACGGGTCTCGTGAACCAAGAACAAGGTCACTGTGAAAAGTACAGTCGTAGTGGTGCTGAAGACATCATTAGGTGTAAACACGCTTAATCCTAAAATAACCAATGGGGACATGCCCCCCCCTGGTACTTTTTAACGCATTTCTTTAAACGATTTCTGCAACAAATTATTCGATGGTTGCAGAGCCCTTAACAGCATACGAAAAAATGTATACAATACGAACAATATTGTAATTAATTACACTTGTCATGAGACATTAGTATTAGGCCTAAGTTTTTAACTCTACAGTTTTTATTCAATCCCCTCTGTATTGAACAAAACGCGTCGTCGGCAATAGATATGGCGGACGTAATGTGGTTGAAGTACACTGTTCTTAAAAACTCTAAGGGACTGAATAAGTAGTGCAGTAGTACAAAAAATATAATAAGCCTAATGCCTTATGACAAGTATAATTAATATAATCATGCTTCGCCAGGTCGACAAAAAGACGTACACACCATAAAAATATTACAATTAATCATAATAATTCCATTTATACCTTTTAGTGATGTCACCCAACTGCTTTGTCAGTTTTTTTGTTTTTACAGAGATATGACAAAACAGAACACTAAATGTGTGAAAATTATACCTTCAATTTAGTGGCTACGTCTATGAAACTTTGCATAATTAGTTTGCCAAACTTGGACTGTTTAATCGTTCACATTGATTTTGTAAAACTGTTGCTGCTTTGAAGTGTAAAGCTACACAGTAACTATCTGCACTTACAGCTTTACACCGGGGAATATTTGTAATATAGAATCAAAAAATAAATCTCAAAACTAACACTTTCTGAAGGTTGAGTATTTGTGTGGGTTTTTTCTTTTTTGACACATTTTATTATTATTATTATTCCAACTCTAAAGCTATGTGGAAATACGTGTTCATCAAAAGGGGAAGCGCCCCTACATAGAACTTCAGTTATATCATCATGTAAAAATACGCACGTGACGGTTTTCCTGGTTCAACAAAAATTTATACAAGTCTACGCGTTCGACCTACGCAAGTGTCATTTCACTCTGTTACGAGACATCCGGTGTTTTTGTGCTCAAACAAGATATTTAGTGGTTTTCTTATTTTAACGTTAAATGTCAAAGAAAACGTTATGAGGGTAAACGATTTTAATGAAATCTAAATGAATAAATGACAAGAATACAACGCCACCTAATAAAGTCCAATTACCGAGATTACTCTAGGCCTAACAATGTAGATTTTCGGCTTCTAGATTCTCAACCGAATGTGATACGTCACTAAATGACGTCTGACTATTTTATACGTCAACAGCGAGACAGTAAGGCTTCCATGGAAACCGCCAATGAACACTTGCAAAAAACACCTAGACACGAGAAGAAAGACACCAACAGAGACTGGCATCAGCTAACACGTATAATTTATTTATCCATAACTTGTTCGCTTTTAACAAAATAACGACGATACAAAACGTTATATCTAGACAAACACACACATCAATTGATCACTGTCGCTATGGTAACGGAAGTGACTAACATCTCATATGAGACATTTCCTTGTATACATCGTCTGCTTTAAGATTGCGTGTTTATGTATCACTCGGCCCTATTCCTTTCAAACAACTTAAATTAACTCAAGAATGTTAAATATCTAGGTTTAAACACATGTATATTCCTTTTCTTTGTGCTTGAATTCTCAAGTCAGGCCACGTGCTTCCTGACGGAGACAAAAGACCGTGTCAGTTTACATCCTGTACCCATGTTTCCCCTCAACTCGAGTGACTACGTTTCGTGAACGCGAGTGTTTGTCAATTTGGTTCACTACGGCAGCAGTGTTTATTTATTTCATTTATGTTATAGCGCAGCGATTTTTTGCTACACAGTTTCAAACCCAATAAAATGGGTTACCCGTGACGTCATATTCGATGCGCGACATATTTAGGCCTATTGATTTCGCACATTTAACAATCCCAACATACGTACATGAAACGCATACTTTACAGGCATCAGTACTTCAAACTTATTTGAGGTAAATCTTAAGGTTTCTCAGAACTTTTCTGCTTTGATATTTCTGAGATAATACATAGGAAAACTTCGTGTCCAATTGAAAGCAGAGCAGTGGATATTGAGGAAGTTCCTGGATTTATTGGAAGACTTCTGTGAAAATGTTATCCTGCCGAAGATGACTAACACGTGATCTACGCAACACTTAACTACAAGAAACTTGGGGTTCTCGCGGAAGGCATTACGTGCATAGCCGAAGCAAGTACATCTGTTCAGAGATATAGAAAAGGAAGGTTGTATATGCAGTACAACACACATGTCGTAAACCCCTTTGACACAACGCAGCGACAAGATTAAGCCTTTTCTTCTTGTACTGTTTTTCTTTTGTTCAGTGTCTCGCTAAGCTACTCGACGTCTATCTGCACTAACCGTCCCAAATTTTGATGTGATAGATTAGAGGGAAGGCAATTAATCAATACCACCCACCGCCAACTCTTGTGGGATTGACTATCACTTTAAAACGCCCTCACGACTGAGAGAGCGAGCACGTTCGGTGACGGTATTAGAACCCTATCTCTACAGATTACAAGTCAAGCGCCCTAACCACCAGACCATGCCATACCCTTCTCTGTACTGTATCGTATTAAAGCAGTGACACTTGAAATGTGGCCTTTTTTTTATTATTAAATCATACTTGTTCTTCTACACTTCAGCCGAGGGTTTAACAGAATAACAATTATTAATAACTTCTGATCAAAGTAAACCAGTCGTAAAACTGTAGGTTAGTCCTAAGTTTTTATATTGAGCTCAGAATGCAATCCACTCCTAATAATAATAAATCAATATATAATTGATTAAAAACAATTACGTACATATCAACCAACACTGTTAATGTAACTACCGTTAAAAAAAAATACGATAAAAATATAAAAATGGAAAATTAGAACAGAACAAGACAAATCGCACGGGCCTATTTATAAAATGTATTTCTAGGCCCGTGTAATAAGGTTAAAAAAACACACGTCATAATTAAATATCATCTGAAACAAATATAAATCTTGGTTTTGGTTTTATTTATTTAAATGATAATAAAAATATACAACTGATCACCGATTTTTCACTCGTACTCGACCAGACAAATAAGTTCACTAGTGTTAGTTTTAGCTCAAAAAACAGACACGAAACTCTTCGTCAAAACTGCTTTATTTCATTCTGTGTCAAAAACGTAAAGGTTAGTTTATTCTTGCGTATTTATACGACCTCAAGATAACGTAAATATTGAAACAAAAACCTTGGATTTTCCAATCAAAACATCGGCAGCTTTTCCAAGAATACTATAAAAAAAATCAATTAAGCCTTGTCTCAGATTACGTAATTACGAGCAGACATGGCCACTTCTATTCAAATTCACACATCTGCTCTTACCATGAAGGGAGAGAGTTACAACTTTCATGACGTCATTTCCGATTCCGTTACTGCCCGAGCATCGATATCTTCCAGTGTCTTCCTGATGAACACCGAGAATGCTAAGAGAGCCATTTTCACTTATACGAAAACGTTCTCTCAACAGCACGTGCACGAAATCCCGAGTCTTTGAATCTGAAAGTGATACATAAGCAGCATGATAGGCTCATATTTCTTTTATAACTAATTAAAGTAATATGCAAATAAATAATTATTAATTACTCCTTTTTTGTTAGTTTTTTTTTTATTGAACTTCCAAACTTACCTGTCAGTGGGTTAAACTTCCAGCTTACTGTTGGTTTGGGATAACCCCCAATAACACAGTCTAACGTTACACTGTCCCCAACCGAGACTGAAACACTTGATGGTTGCTTAACCCATTTAGGAGCAACTATAAAAAAACATAATATTTGAAACTAAATAAGACTGTTTTATGCACAAACAAAAATAACACGTTCAAATAAATTCTGGCTTTATGAAACTATTAACCTGTTTTTGTTTAAAAAACACTTGTTATATTATCAAGTACAAATATCAATATTGTCTGACCAAAGCATACCAATTCAGAACTTAAAAATATAATGCCTATTTACACAACTACAGATCGCTAACGAATAAACCACTATTGTTGATTAAAGATCGTAACGAATAAACCACTATTGTTGATTAAAGATCGCTAACGAATAAACCACTATTGTTGATTAAAGATCGCTAACGAATAAACCACTATTGTTGACTAACGTTCGCTAACGAATAAACCACTATTGTTGACTAACGTTCGCTAACGAATAAACCACTATTGTTGACTAACGTTCGCTAACGAATAAACCACTATTGTTGA